CATAGACTGAATTGCTGTCGACTCGTGTAACTGACTGTGAATTTCCTGCGATTCCTGGAATCGATGGAAAGGCATTCAAATATGTGTTGGATGTGTGGCTGTTGTGGGAATGGCTGTCGAGTATAGCATCGCTTCAAAGCAATTCCTAGAATGAGAGACTCGTCACGAAAACACAAGTGTATTGTATTGCCTGTGAATTGCATTCAAACTGTGAATACCTTTCACTACAACACAACTCCTCATTGTATTCAATGTAAGTTTTGTTTCAATTAATTTTATTAATCATTTTATTTGAACATATTTTAATTACTATTTCATAGACAACATATTTTAGTGACACTATTGTAAACACAATTTAGTACAATCAATAACTTTTGACTCGAATATTTAGAACCCATATTAGACTAATACAAGCTAGGTACTTTATGTCTCGTAGCATGTTTACTTGATTATATTTGTTAATTTTATTATATTATACAGTAAATTGTGATTGTTAACTATATTACGATAGTATTGTCAAAATAAACAGACATTTTGCTTAAAATATTCATTAATTTTGAGTGCATTTCGCGATTAAACCGTGTTTTGAATATATTATGAATTATTTATTATCTCTTTATTATTGCGTTTTTAAAGTAAATATCACTTTAATTGTCATTTTATGTGTCATTTGTATGAATATTTCACATGATTTTATATCTCATACTTCATATCCCTGATGACAATTAGTCTGAAATATAGGTGATATCAAGTAGTGGTCCAGCGATTGATATAAAGAATTCTCGAGAAGATGTCTGTTTGGGCACAACTACAAGAACTGCCTGAAGAGGCCCAACAACAGGTGCACCAGACATACGGAGAGCAGTTCCCGATCGAAGTTCGCTGTGCTTTAGCGCAATGGATAGAAGAAAAGCCGTGGAAGGACTTGGATGCAGACAATCCACAGCACGAGGCGTACGCGTCGACTCTGGTGTCGGCCCTGATCTCGGAGATTGAGGTGAAAGCCAACGCCACCGAAAACTTTGTCACAAAATTCAAGTTAACGCAAAGCGCGCAGAACTTCCGATTGAATTACTCGCACAACCCCT